TTTATTTCTTTAATAAAAAGAACAAATAACTCGCGATTAATTAGCCCTTTCATTTACATAAGCTTTAGTAGTCTGCCATTTGTCTCAAACTCACAGTTGTGGGATTAGCAGTTATATCACAGGACCGTGGTCATCTGAGTGTTTAAGGAGAATTGCATTTGCCGTGGGTTTGCATTGGATGCACCCTATTATGTTACATTTTGTAGCCTTTAGTTTCTCTGTATGTATGCGGCTTGATGTAGTAGTTTAGTATGTTATTGCATCGATATATGACCAAGCTTCGAGATAATAAGTTTAAAGGACAGTTTCTCTTCCCAAAATTGATTTAAAAGTTGTAGTACAAGATATTTCTTGCTATTCCTTATTAATATCATAATTATTTTTGTTTGGATCCAAATTTAGGTCCATTGTCTTTTTAAAATTAAATTGGTTATTGGTCGAAAGAAGTAACGTCATGGTATGAGAAAAAATATGTATTATCACTTTTTACTGGTAAGGGACTGTAAATCAGATGTATGTCTTACTCTATTTGAAAATAAAATACACTTTGAACTAGCAAATATTATAATTTATTTGATAATCAATTTACCGATGTTAAAGAATTACAGCAGTTTAAATATTTGCATATTAAATTTTCTTGATTAGCACTTTTTAGACTTTGGAAAGGTGTTTTTAGGTGTTACAGCAAAGTCTTCATTTGCTTTCAGCCAAGTCGTGATTTTTTTAAAGGCAATTCGTGATGTACTTTAAGACACGTCTTGGTTTACTTTCCGACCCGTCTTGGTTTACTTCCTCTTGAACAATCTCCTGAAGATTCGAGCGAAGAAATGAAAGCATCCTCTCTCTTTTTCTTCAGATTGTTCATTGATGGTCAGCTCAATATCACTTCTTTGCCAAAAGTCTATTTCGTCTCTCAAGGGACCATCACGACTTTTTAATCTAAAATTTAAAAGTAATACTCACATTATTAGAAAGTTAAATACAGTTTTTTGTTTTGTTACAACAGCTTCATTTTGAATTATAAGCTTTTTGTATAGAGTAAAAGGCATTTAGGTTCAGATAAATTTTCTAAAGCACAAATTTCAAAAAACTCGATTTTTACTTTACAATGATCAAAATCGTTATATGATTTACGACAACGAGAAAAAATTTCGTGATGGATTTATTAGGGAGATTTTATCTTTCAGATTTATTGACAATATGTTTTGCGCAAATTTTTCCTCATTTAAAATTTTTACATCAATCAATTTATCCTAATTGCTAAAAAGTAGTTAAAAATATTCAAAATGATTTTTCGGTCAATTTTTTTAATTAATTTAGCTGAAGTAAAATACATCTATACAATAGTGTGAGGAGCACCGAAAAAAAAAGAAGAGAAAAAAACGTTTAAAAAATAATACTTCATAAAGCAAAAATTTCTCCCAAAATTAAGAAAAACGCAAAATAGAACAGAGATAGGAACATAAGGCGATAAATGAGAACGGTCGACGGTCATCTTCTTATGAACATCTTGCAAAAATGAATTAAACAAATTTTCCTAACAAATTTACCAGATTACAAAATATGAAATTAAAGCGTAAATAAATGGTAATGTGATATATTTTTAAGTTCTTACTGAAGTATAAAACCACATTTAATTTCTCGCTTGCCTTGAAATGGATCGAATACTGAACTTGCGTATGTTATTAATATATTATACTGGATAGTTCAAAATTGTGAAGAAATAAAAGGTCGAAGTTCCAATAAAACATTTAAATTCGATGGTTTTTTAGAGAAATTATTAACATTTGTTAAAAAATATTTATTGAATATTAGAGAAGGTTAATTTTTAGTTAAAAAAATTTCTTAGCCACATATTTACCCGAAATGGATTTGCTAATGTTAGTTTTCTGTTTAATTTCTTTTTCGTACTTATATATATATATATATACAAATAAGTAAATACAAGAAAAACAATATGAAGAAAAGATTATATCTTTTTTTTCCCGGTTTTATTTTTCAGGTTTTTTAAATAAAATTTCATCCCTTTTTTTTAATTTTTTTTTTATTTATTATTATTATTATATATATTATATAATCTGTTGTCTGTTATTTTTTACTTATTATTCCCNTCCTTATCGTGCACCAAATCCATCTTATAGAGTTTCGCTATCTTTACATCGCTGAAGAGGAACAATTCCTCCCTAAAAGTAAAAAAAAGAAAAGAGAAAAAATATATAACTTAAAATTCAATAAAGTTATTTTGCTCAACAAATTTTTCTTTAAAGATCAGATATATTTGTAAAGAGAGAGAATTATTAACTTATTAACGATCACAGATGTTTTAAAAATGCTACGATGTGTAATTATTTATTTTATATTTTGTGTTAATTATTTATTACATAAAAAAATGTCCATTATGGATTTTTGTAAGGGGGATAATTACAGTGGTATTTATAAGTAAATTCCAAAATCGTGGCTTAGTATTTAAAAAGATTTTTCAGTTAAAACAATTATGTTTACGATTCAGTTATTTACCTCATTCGTCTCTTATTTAAACTTATGAAACAGAGATTTCGTTTTTTATTAAATTTTTTTTCTTCGTGTATTCGTTAATAGACTGTGGAAAAATTATTCATGGTTATGAAGAAAATACCTTAAAAAGTATAAAATAATGAAATGAAATCTACAAAAAATATGTTCAGTTGTAACTTATTTTATTATTTTAGTTTTTCAAAATAAATGTTTTTCCTTTTATAAAATTGTCTAGATCGTTTATACTTTATACTACTGAATAAAAATGTTCTTATTTGCGAATTATTAAATCCTTTTTAGAAAATTAGTTTATTCGAGTCACATTATCCTTCCTTCAGCATTTGCATTTTTAAATATTTTATTTTGTTAAGTAAACTCTTGTAAAGTTAATGCCCTTTGAAAAAAAAAATTTTTTTCGTCAATGCAAAGATTTTAATCTTTTAAATAATTGCTAGCATTAATTCTGTTCATGCTCAATAAATTCATTTTAAATCATCTGTACCATTGATTCATAGGGATTAATGAAACTTAAAGACCGATATGTAGTCACTTACAATTTTATGGTAATATTTTATTTTAAAATAGTTACGAAAGTGTCACCTGAAAAAGGATGAAAAATGACTCAAACACTGAAGATCATTTTAACTAAAATATTAAATTTCCAATAAGAAACATTCTAATTAACATACCTATTCAGCTCCTCAACTCCATCTCCCTTATCATCATCATTATCCTCATATTTAACCTCATAACCAACATCATCACCCCCATCATTATCCCCAACATCATCATCCTCAACTTCATCATCATCAGATGATGGCACTTCAGCTCTTAATTCCATCATATATTCATCATCACTAAAATTATGAAAGGAACATATTTTTCAAATTAGTCTTAAGGTAATAGATTTTTATTGAAAAAATGCGTGATTTCTGATGATTTTTTTTGTTCTTTGAAGGCGACTTCCAGAGTTTCTTTATGTTTAGAGTGTAGAAAATAAAACGGTGTATCTTAAGAAATTTTGATTTTAATAAGTTTTCGATTGTTATTTTATTATTGGGTGAGCATTATTGAAAAAGAGTGTTCATTATTTTTATGTTTATATCATACCTTAGTCGATTTTTAACAGCAGTAGTGTTTTGTGACCAAAATATGTAAACAGTAAGACCACTGTTTTAACCCTTTGCTGTCGTATGTCTACTCTCAGCCACCAACGCTTTTTTAACATTTCACTCATATGTCTGAGCTCTGCCACCACAGCAAAGATGTTAGCCAATCGTAAAGGCAAACTACATTTATTGTGGCATTTTGAAGATGTAAAGAGTAAAGATTGTTCTGTGTGTTCAAACAGAAAAATTATAGGCGGAAGACGCCAAAATAATCATTTTTGTGACGCATGTTCTCGAAAACCTGGGTTTCATATTGGAGATTGCTTTGAAAGATACCACACGAGAACTATAAAATATAATTTTTACATGAAATTAAAGCATATTATTGTGTTACATATAGCTAAAGATTAAAAAATAATAATAAATTTTATTTTTCTTTTATAAATTTGAGTGTTATGCATTACTGTTAGTTCAACGAAAATTAATTCCGACCAGCATGACTCCCATGAATAAACTTAATACAGCCGCAAAGGGGTAAATGTTTCGTTGTTTCTAATTGCGTTTTTGCTTTCTGTGTAAATTCTTCAAATACTCAAAAGGGTGCCTTTTTATTGAAAAAAAAGAAAGAAAATTATGATAAGAGACATAAAACTTAAGAGATATAACTACTTACAAATCACTATCATCCAAATCAATATCATCGAATTCATCTTCGAACTCGCTACCATCCTCATATGCTGAAATATAAATTAAAATTAAATTTGAAAATTTGAATGAAGACTAGTTTTAAAATAATCTCTAAAGTGTTTATTTTGTTCAATAATAAAAGAAATTTTTACAAATTACCGCACTTACAATCTTTTGCAGCTCATAATGAAATTCACAAAAAAAGGTATAAAATCTTCTTTATAAAAAGTATGTATTTTTGGTATCCTCCGTTTTATTTTTAAAAAAAATAGCGGTATGGTTACTCTTCGTACACTGTAAAAATGTAAATAATCAATAAACGGTATTGATCAACACTGCTTAACCATGCGCAGAACTGAAAACAATCTGCCGACACATTTATTAAAGCTTAAATAGTTTCATTTTTTCTTTAATTTTTATTTTATTAATTTTAATATATATTTACTCTTGGAGCTTCCCGGTGACTTAACATTATTATATTAAGCAAAACCAGCTTTTAAAAATTCAATATAAACATTAGCTATATTCAGTGTCATTTGACATTGTTCAATTGCCAAAATACTCAGTATCCATTGTCAAAATTTACCACATTAAAGCAATTTTATCCTTTATCCCTTTAGGAAAGTCTTAAGAAGCTTATTATACTAAACACTAATATAAGTAGATTTAGATCCCATTACCACAGTGTAAGTAGCTCATATTACTAAAATTAATGAGGCAGCATAGGCAACAGTATTGGTGATTTTTAGAAATCCAAGAATAATTACGTTTTCTCTATGTTCGGGTTCTTGGCCAAAGGATACGCCTTTGTTCGCCAAGTTCGGGTTACTGAGCTGCGTAGTGATGGTTAATACGAAAGATGTCATTGCGTTTGGACTATTAAAGGATTAAATTTCTTGTTTATGATAACCCGTGCAGAGGCATTCTATCTTCTAGGACAGGGTTTCTTAACCTGTGGTTCATGGACCCCTTAGGGGTCCATTTGTCATACGTTGGGGGTCCGCCGACCATTTTTAAGACGATTGGATCAATAATATTTAAATAACATTGATCTTTTTTTTCTTCTAAAAGATGAATATACATACATATTTGAAACTAGGTGATTGAGATACCCCAAATTCAGTGCGGACCCTCTAATATCCCTGTCATATTTTTAACATTCTCCACCAACCGACTTTAGTTTGCAGCAGCAGGGCAACCCCCTGATTACGTCCGATTTGTTATTTTTATAATCCTCTATCAACCCCTCATTTTTTATGAGCCGTCCCTTAGCTCTTTTCTCTTAGATATGCCAGCAATCCTCCATAATGTGAGGAAAAGAACATTCGCAAACCATAAAAAAATTTAACATTTTCAAAAACACAAAGTAGCCTTCGAATTTTATTTCAATTGAAAATAAAGTAAAGTAAAAATAATTAATGTTTTTTGCAATAATTTTTTTACAGGGGGTGGTCTGTGATTTCTTAAAATTTTTTAAAAAGGGTCCATTATACCAAAAAGGTTAAGAAACACTGTTCTAGGAGGTATTGGAAGAACACAACAAACTCTCACCTGCACTTACTGGCGATATCAAAATGCGCCAATGTCAGTATTCTTAAAT